ATTCCAGTAATTATATTTAAACAATTAAAATTACCCCCTTCATCCTTTGCCCTTTTTATTTTGTTACCGATTTATATCGGAAAATAAAAACTAATAAAGTCTTGATCATTTGTTGAATTCAACGTTACAATCACTTTCGCATTGGATCAATGGTTCCTTCAGATTTCCCATGTTTACTTTTGATTCAGGGCAATAAATGAAATTAAATCGCATGCGTTTTTCTTCCAATTTGATAATCTGTCTCAAAGCAACAGAGTGTTTGATTATTTCTCATTAGTAGTGTTTGATTTAAAGCGCTAGATAGACATTGATTCTGCCTCACAAGAGTTGCAAAACTTAGTGATTTTAATTGGAGATAAACAAATAAAAGAAACTCTAGTCATTGAAGCTATTTATTATTTTTTCACGGCCCCATTTGCTCATTTCTCTCATCCAATGCCACCTGCGATGAGAATTTACATATAAAACGATCATCAAAGTTAACACCTACATTCTCATTTTTTCAATCCTCAAAGTTCGTTTTCTAAATTTTCTTTTTCTATGATATATTCTTCCGTTGTGTGCCTTACCATTAGCCTGATGACAATTTGTTGAATCTCAAGGACAGTTATCCTTTTTTTTCTTCTCTGCAAAAAAGAAGCAATTTAAATTGGAGAATCTGAAATGAACATATAAATATATATGCAGATTATATGCTGTACAGGTTTTTTTTTTTCTACTTGTATGTTAAGCTTGCTAAAATACATACACATGACCAGAAACCAGTCACACAGGTACCCAACCATTGAATGTAATGGAAATTGAGAAGTCGTCTCTGTGCGGTGTCTCATTGACTTCGCCGCCAGTCTTATATTACCCGGCTCCATTTTCAAGGTAAATTGTATCTTGGAGGTAAAAAATGTAATAATTACGTATGACATCTCATCAAACGGCGAGAAATCGACGGCTTTTTCTGTCGGAATCGAATAGACTCGGACACCTGATACTCATTCAAACACCCCTTGCTCCTGACTGTTTCAGAAATATTATTTATTCAAAAGATATAAAGTTTTTAAATTGCCTTCCCCTGGGGGTGTAATAGATCGTCTAGCAGTGGGTGCAGTCACTCGATCTTGTTTATTCAAACCTGTTATGTGTGTACAGATACACGGTCATCGGAAAAATCTCGTCTAGCTTACATGTGTTAAGACATTTTCATATGCAATGTCTTATTGGCCTAATTTAATAGTTGTGTAGTCTTCAAACCAAAATATACTAACAATATTTCTACAGGAGTTTTTGAGTAAAAATATACTTTTCCAAAAGTTGATGTTGATGCAGTTAATTTGCAATCAATTAGTTTGAATAGGCGTGAAAGAAAAATAAATATATGTAAGACTATCATATAAATTTTTATTTTCTTAACAATCCAAAAGTCTTTATTTCTTAATTCGTAGACTTATTGATGTCTCGTGAAAAAAATCACTGACTATATGTAATATATTGGGTAATTGTTTGTGCATAATATATAGCTATACCTTGATTTAAAACACCTGCATTAACGTTAAATAGACCTCTCAGCCACGAAAGGGAAATAAAATGTTACCAGTGTATATAAAAGTTGCTTATTTGAAAGCAAAGTTTCCCAGATCAGTCTAAATGAATCTGCCAAGATTGATAAGTAATTTTCAGGAACTCAGGAAAAAAATATTTTCCTTTTAAAAGAAACTGAATTTTCACACACATCCATTAAAATTGGTTATTCTTTGATTTTATAAACCGAAAGGCAATTTGAAAATGTTTGACAAAAACTAACTCCACCTGGAGTTAATTATGTCACGTGCACCTCATTTGAATTACTTTTAAAACAGATCCCAATGTAAGAGGGATATGAAAACCGACCGAATTTGTTGACAGCCTTTTGAATAGCCGATGTAGCATTAACAAACTAGTATCTCCCTACATGTAGCCTCCGGAAAAATCCGTCACCAGATTGTCTGATGTAGCGTGAAGGTTTCGGCATTTAGCATCACGATTAATTGACTTCTAAAAGCTTAAGTGATTCCGGTGTGATAGTAAGAAGAAAGATGATTGGATGATATTACGAATTCGTTCAAAATGGCGATCAATTGAGGTGCTCTGACAGTTAGACAGTGAATTGACAGGCAATTGTAGGCTTTTCTTGGTCACTTGTGAAAATTGATAACAGTGCTCTGTTATCAGGGTTTCTTGTACAATCTTTGTTGATTATATTCCTCGGATGGAATACCTTTTTACTTGCGGCAATGCTAATCTCCATTTTGAAATAATGGATTTCAGTTTTCTGCATGTGATTTTGGTTCTCAGGCTTATGGAAGAAAAAGTTGACACTTTTGAAACACCACTCAAAATTCTATATCTGTTAAATAATTTTTGTATCGAAAATTGTATTTGCAGAAAGAGTAATGAAACATTAAAGGGATTAATTGTATTTACGAGAGGAATTGTACTTCAAATGTCAAATAGAATTTATGCCTATGCATTACAATACACGCAAAAAAGATCAAGAGGCATTGTTGGTGATTAAAGAAAATATCACCGTCTTTTGACCTTAGGCGAGACAATGTATAAAAGTCTTACCCTTTTGTTCAACATTATGTTCTAACTTTTATTTAAGTCTTCATAAGAACTCTTGTCCGCTATGATGAATGCATTGATCCTCTTACACATGTCAGATCGATTAAAAAATATGCTTAATTTATGTGTATTAGAGATTAATTCCTTTTCTGATTAACTTTACTTGTAATCACGCACCTGCACCCGCACAAAGACAGAACTTAACAGTAACTGGATAATCTGTACTGAAGAATAGTATAATTCAGACAGGATTGTTTAGTCGGCTTAGCCTGCAGTTAAATATTTGACTTCTGGGTAATTCCGAATGTTTGCGGCAGACGGTTTAGAAATGGTGGATATACCGCAGACGACATTTGGTAATACTTAAGGACGGGAAAGGTTGCGGTTATGCAACAAGTTAACTTACTGGTTAACTTTTAAACTTGTTTTTTTAAACGCAAAAATTAAACTTTTTTCAATCTTTTTGTGGGAGTAATTTAAATGTCGAAGAACTGTATAACACGCTTGTTTTGATTATTATATAATAGGTTTCAAGAAAAGGCCTAACACTGATATAAAATGTAATTACTTTCCTTAGTAAATTTGCTATGTTCACTTGCTTACCTTCAATTTAGTGCAAAATCGTTATCTTAAGAAAATTGCCTGTAGAAAAACCTCGTCACATATGGTAGCTTACATGTAATTCAGCTTTAGATTTATAGAAAAAGAAAGACAGAATCGAACATAAATGCATAAAGTAATTAAAAAAAAAACTTTCAAATTGGAGAAAAAGCAATACTACGTCTGCAATCTTTTTACATATAACTGGAGAGAAATTTTAAATATACATTGTATATAACAAGCTTATTTAGAAAAAAAAGGATTCTAAAAAATATTTGAGAGAGAGAAGATAGAGAGAGAAAAGAGGATAGAGAGAAAGGGGATATTAATATTTCAACACCTATGTTTCCAGAACTTCTTTAAAGCGTTTTCTTTTGTATAGATATTTCACTAGATTTGCATTCAGGTTAACAAGGTTAACTTTGTGAATGCAGGTCTGTACAAAGTCATAAAATATGTCTTAGTAAATGTTTCGAATTATCATGTTAAAACCATTGTGATACTTTCGAACCATTCATTCATAAACATATATATATTAATCTTCATTTCTTTAATTATCGACTGAAAAAATTATTCACATGGAGAAAAATTATGCATTCTACAAATGTAAAAAATCATGCGAAAGGGATCCAGAATTAAACTTTTTTAACGTAAGATCTCAACTGCAAACCTTCAAAATAATTCCACTCGTATGCACACAATTCAATGGGTGCACAAGAAACATCAATAGCTTAGCTCTCAGTGTAAGCCTTTAAAAAAAAAAAGCCAGTCAGATTTGCCTTATAATTTTATTTCATAATTACATTTTTCTAACATTTGAGCACATATAATATATATCATTCACAATCAACAATATTGCACAAAGACACAAAGAAAATTAATTAGAATATGCATCCGCAGTGCGGTGAAAGTAACAAATCTGTACATGTACAAAAGAGACTCTAAATTTCAATTTAATTATTATGGGTTTAACATTCTTAATTTGAATGCACCAAGTAAGATATAATCAGCCCTATGTTGTATTTAGAGTCCAAGAAAATACAAAAAAAGTGGTCAAAACAGTCCAGCACGAATATTTTTCAAACTTAACAAACAAGAATTGTGCGTACTACGTAGAATGCATGGCAGAAAATATAGAAAATGCACCAAATTTTCAAACAGAACAATATACAAGCTTAAAAGCTTTCTCCGGCTATCATTTTTGGCAAGAAGTATTACCAAATTAGTCTTGAAAATTGTTATTACTAATAGAACAAGGCGAGATGACGAGTTTCCCTTTTAAGGGAAAATATGTATATTTCATTTAATTTAACGCCCGGGCGGCCCGTTGATGTTTAAAAATATATACGTACAACTTAAAAATATATATTGTACAAATGCAAAAAAATAAGAGAAAATGATATGATAGAAGGAAATGGAATATATGCATAAATATATCATATTTTTACAGAATAATAATGTATAAATAGATAACACATACTGGTGATAATAAAATCTAAATCTAGTCAATTCAATTCACAAAATTGTGCAATCAGTGTAAAATTAGCCAGAATATATTGCTCATTTTGAGTACTGAAAATATTTTTAACAATTTATTTCTATAACAATCGAGCAATCTGCTTCGTGGATGCACCAATCGCATGCTAGCACGTCACGTGATTGTAAGAACAAGAGACCAACGAAGAGAAAAAACCAACTTCAAATCTGTCGAAAGTCTCTCTTTCTTTGTAAAGTATATGAAAGGTACTCAGTTCTCAACATGACATGACACTTATCAATTATGCTATATTCAAACGTGTAAATGACTGAGACTAAACTGGTAAAAATTTCGAATAACGTTACGATGGAATCGTATTTATCATTACATTGACCGTGAAAAGTGGTTTTGAAATATCGTTTAGGATTGCTAGAGGCAAACTTGAATTTAATTGCTATCTGCTCGGGTAGAAATTGGCCCTATTATTCATGTAAAGTGTACAATGAACGATTTTACTGCATTAGCACACATCAATGTCAATCTGTTTAGTTAGGGGTTCTCGCTGCGGAAGCGGTTTCATTTCACAAGTGTACAAGATGGGCAAGAGAAACATAATCCCTCGCGCCGCATTCATCCGTGTTGTAGATTTCAAGTTTTATTTTCACTCCAATCTTTTGTTACGCGCTTTGAGATGACTTAATCAAAGGCATATTGCATTACGAATTTGGATGCCGATATTGGAGAGCTAACGCGAGACCCATGACCAGATAAACATCACATTGATTTATGCTCATCAGATTAAATAAAACTAATTGCCAATTTGATTTTTAAATTTCACCACTCATGGACATGAATGAGAAAACAAATACTGAAAAAATGGATAGATTGATGACCGTTTATGAGTGGCAGATTTTATTTCCTTAGAAATATGAACCGCTTGTTGACATGGGCGACGCCAATCGAGCTTGAGATCCGTTTTTGCTCCTGCTGTGGCCAGAGCCACTTCCGGAATCGATTTCCGAACTTTGTTTGCCTAATAATTTGACAATTTGACATTCTTTCCTACATCAGAAATCACTTGATTTAAACATGTCAATCAAAAGTCTTTCAATCGGAATATTGCCAATTGTCTTTCTGAAGAACAATTCTGCAATCGTGCTTCCACATACTGTTTTTAGAGTCGGGATCGACAATAATAATTTTCCAAACCGGAAAGGTTGGGTAGGATAAGTTGCCTGGATGTATTTGCTCAGAGTTAACTGGGCCTGATCTTGGAGTCCTGCAACTGTGTGGATATCTCTTAGAGATTTTTCCTCGGAATTCTGTGAATTTCCAAAGGCTGAAGATAAAAAATTGAATAATTTAATTATACATATATATTAATTCCACACGTTAATGATAGTAAGATATCCATTACTTTCTTTCATTAAGAAATTCTTCTTTTTTTTTTTTTTTGTCCTATAAGTTTCAAATTACATTCAATGCACAAGAAGAAGGATACCATAATCATTTATGAAAATCTATTATTAATCCTTTGATTTTGACGTCTTACCTGTTTTGAATAGAACAATGCCTTTGAGGCAGGCAAATTCGGTGGGATCCACTTGCAGGGATTTAAACTTTGATATGATCTCTTGTAGAGCTCTGATTTCAGTCATAACGCTGACTACTTTCTCAGCTGATGCATCCTCTGAATTTAATCCTGTAAGACATAGTTAAATTGCACTCCTTAGATGCTTTTTTTACATGTTTTATGAAATACTAGGACTCATTGAGCAAGAGAAGAGTAAACTTTTGCTTTTTTTACCTGCCAAAGCAAGTAGAGGACCAGCTTCAATGGGCATCTGGAATTGAGCTGCACCAAGAATGAATAATTCTCTCCATCCTTCATCCAGGAGCAAAATTTGATCTCTGAATGGAAGCCCCAAGAATGCTGGGACATTTTTCGCCCATTTAACGCTCATGAATAATAGCCTTGCAGCAACTTCACACATGGCTTCTGGGTTAGTTGAATATGCTTGCATTATTTCATGTGGATACTAAAAAAAAAAATCAAAAATATTTTCTATAATTATTTATATGCAAGTATTATACACAACTTTAGAAAAAGGTCAAATTTATTCACGTCATCAGCTATTCTGTAAAATATTAATTTCACATAGTAAAATGTATTTCAAGTTATTCTACCTTAGGAGTTGGTTGACAGAGAATCCCAGGCGAGACTGGTGATGGTGGCGTAACTGCACCAAGATCCACTCCATTAGCCATTGGATCTATTCCATAACAAGTCGGCAAATATGGCGGACGGAAGGGCGCCTGCGCTACGAATGCGCCATAATCCCTGGTTTCTTTAAGGTACATAGCAACTTGCCTCCTGATGGTAGAATTTCTGGGTCCTCTTTCATGTTGTACGGCTAAAAGGACATTATACTATTACTGTAAATCAATGCTTTAATTATTTTCAAGCTTCTCTAAAAGTATATGTATGAAGAATTTCTTTTTTCCATTTCACATTTGAGGCACCGAGGATGTAAATCAGAATGGCATACATGTAAGTGAGCAATATTGCTCCCCAATAAAATATATTTTAAAGTAGCGTACCATCTTTATTCATGCCAGCTTCCATACATTTCTTAAGGCGACATGCTCTACATTGGTTTCTGTGCGTTTTGTCTACTGGACATGTACCCTGACCACGTGACTTGCAGATGTACTGTCTGTTTCTCCTGATGGACCTCTGCATGAAGAAAAATTAATAATTAAAATAAATAAATAGAATGTACAAAAATATTCTTATTAAATCAGGGTTTTCCCTGTTATTTTTGTTTATTTATTTATTTGTTTATTTATTTACTATTTATTCATTTATTTTCAATACCATGAAGTTTACATTGATTAATGATACAGTCCTCTTTTGAAACTTTATGTACATGTATCTTGTTTATGAAAACGATTTCAAGACAAATCATATCAATTTATACGCGGGATTCCTCAAGTATCTAAGTGCTTTTTAATTCTTCAGAGCAGTTTCACAGGTGTTACAACAGTTTGACCCTGAAACTTGCAATGCTAAAAAATCACAAAGACTGAACAATGAGAAAAGAATTTTTTGCTATGTTTGAAGTGAAGTTTTAACGCAATGAGAAAATCCGTCGGCAAACATATCCCAAAATTCTAACCAATCTTCAAAACAAAAGGCTTATATCTGTACACGAGTGTTTTCTATTTATTGATTAATAATCAGTTTTTGGGGGAGCATTGCTGTCGAATTAGGGGAAAAGGAGGATGTTGGACTTAAACAGTATCGTTGCACTATGAACTTTTAAGCACAATGTATTTTATTTTGCCCGAGTAACAGTCAATAGCGACAAACATGTCCTTGATATAGCCTTTAAAATGCGATGTTGCGCTTATAGTGGATTTAAGGTGGTCAAATATTGACTTGGTGTTTCGCGAAAGTCATATTTATACTGTTGTTGTTACCCATTTAGAGAGACATTTTTTATCCGAATTAATGAGATTTTCAAGTACTGTCGAGGTACTGCTGTACATTGCCAATTTTGATTAAGCCATAGCTTCTGAATTTAAGTATTTGGATGTGTCAAATTTCAAGTGCTAGCTTGTACGATTGTAATGAGTTTTTTTTTTCATGTATCTTCAAAAGGGAAATTATGGACGGATTTAAAAAACTGTAAATAAATAAATAAATAAATAAAATATATATAAAAAAAAAACAACAAAATGCCAACAAATAAAAATATTTAGCATGCTTTACAGTGGAAAGAATAAAAAAGAATATTAAAAACACAATTCCTGTCATGTAAATTCCGAAAAATAAACCATGTAGAGTGTGACAGCCATGTAAAGATAGAATACACATGTAAATGAGCATGCCTAAACTAATAATAATAATTATAATAATAAAACATTCTATCTTACTTTTTATTTCAAAATTTGAAATACCTTGAAAAATCCCGCGCACCCATCACATGCATAGATGCCATAGTGTTTGCCAGATGAATGATCCTGACAGACTTTACAAGGGATGTCTGTTAAAATGCGACCTGAAAAGATAAATGAAAAATTGCGGGATTAGATAAGATTTTTTTCTTTTATCTTATTCTAGCTGTCAGTAAGTCAAAAATACACATAAATAAAGAAACTGCATATTTCATTTTCTAAAAATAAAACAAAAAGTATTATCAATAATAAAATTTGATTAAAAAAAAAAAAAAAAAAGTTATAAATTTTTATTTTATTTCATTTTGACTCTTGATACGCTATTATAATTGGATAATAACAAACAAAAAGGTATGTATTTTCATAAGAATTTGTTCACCTAATGTGACCTTACTTCATTCCCCTTTTCTATCAGGTGTTATAAAATTATGTAACAACCGATAACTTTTCACCTTACCAAGGTGCTCTGACATTTAAATGGAGTTCTCAATGATTTTTTTCGTTATCAATTATTTTGTGTACATGTATTTCCCCGTTAACCCTTAGAAAAATAATAGGGAAAGAGTTTTGATTTATTGTCATTTTTTAAGCATGCTCATTTAATTCCCAACACGACTTGTTTGTTTTAAACCTTATCATTTCTGCTATTTCAATTATATTTAATGGTTTATCTGTAAAAACGCCACAAGAAGTCAATAAGAGAATAAATAAAAATTAAATTTTATGGAGTGAAAAATGTCCGGCGTTCTATCGTTTCTTAGGCAGCAACCAAAGTAACTTCGAAACATGTGCAAATGAACGGACGCACTATTTCCGAAGTTAAGCTTTTCTCGGGGAAGTTAATCTATGCAACTGAAAACATCTGTAATTATAAGTGACATTTTTATTTCTGTCACAAATTGATTGCCCCCCGTGCGCTCAACTTCCTTTATAATTCTGAGGAGATCGAGCCGTTTCTAGGCATTTTGAGGAATTTTGAAAAACATATGTTACATCGAATATGTCCAATAAGTTATTTATCAACCTAACAATGGGCATTTGTTCAAATTCAAGCGTTTAACAACTTCGCTCCCAATGTAACCCTTGAAGCTTACGAACAATCAGGTATTTATATAGATAAGTCATGTCAAAAGATTCATTCTTTTTATTGTGTGGTGACGTTTAGAGAATGACTTATGTGGCTTTTTTGTCCAATAACGCGAATATATTCTTTAAGTCCGTGGCTGCAACGCTTTATTCGGTGCGGGACTTGCACGTAATTCTGTCTCCGGGGTATATGAATGTTTTTTGTATTCTTTAAGCTGTATAAAACGGCACAGGTGCTTCGCAGAAAATTAGGACTGGTTTCTATACAATCCCAATTCATAACGCGCTCCCTCAGGTGTATTTTTCTGTTTGCCTTCGCATCATAATATGGATTAAACATATTAACTTTATCACGAATTGGAATATTAAGAAATTTCTAAAAGGCTCCTCGGATGTTCCCTACTCTAGATATCTTATACCGGTTCCCTTTTCAGAAGACATTGTTAGGCTCAATTTATATTCTCCTTATGACAATATAGAAGTCAGTTTTGATCATACTTGAAGTTACTAAAAAGTTCAAACTCGATGGCTATTATGCTTTTTTTCATGCTATTTCCCAAGATAGTTCAAGACAGTTTATGTCAATAAAATATCTGTGAATTATCAAAAATGCTCTTAAGATGTAGAAAAAAATATCAATGAAATCAAGATTTAAAAAAGTGAAATTTTCAGAAAAAAAATTATGTCTTAGAAATTCACTTGTTAAAAATAATGAAATAGATAATTTTATTTAAAACCGAAGTAAGGAAATATTCAGATGATCAAAGTATTACATGTACAATATTCTTTTCTTTTAATGCACCTAAACGTTTTCTATTTTGTTAAAAGCAGGTGAAAATACTTTTCCTTTGAATAATTAATCAGAGAATATAAGAAAGAGAGAAAAAAATAGACTAAAATCTTCATAGGCACAATATAAAACAAATTTATCTGTGTTCAGATAAAAATGACGGAAATTTCTTCCCTAAACATCATTTAAGGTGGTCACGTTAAACGGACAATCGATTTCAATTTTGCTTTTTTTTCCCTTCTCAGTTCACTTTAAGCTGACTACCAACTTTGGATTGTCACCTGCGCGTCAGGTAATTAAAACAGGGCCTGTTGTCGCTTTGCTATCAGGCTGATTTCCCGAGCGCTTCCTGCATCATCTTTTGTAGTTCGACTTGACTTTCCGGGGTTAGCAACTGATAGGTATCAGTATATAGGTTAAGTGCCTTTTAAACATTAATTAAAGAGCCTCTACTCTTTGTAGTCAAAACCGTGTTTGCATGCAACACATGCATTTTTTCAAGCCGCCAAAAACGGTTTTCGTCTTGATGGTCGTGTTAGTGAATCTGTGTTTTCATTTCAGTCGAGGAGTAGACATGATGTCATAATTTTCAACGTACGGTAACTTGGAGATCGCGTGATTTCATTAGAGTTTGGATTAATTTGTTTAGATAAAACACCAGTATTTCCGGTGTGGAATTAGGTTCTAATGACTTTTTGAAATCCAAATATAACTTGGTAACCTCATAAAGCCTTGATAAGACATTAAATGTTTTCTTAAAGTCTTGGAGGGAAATTGTAAACTTTGTTTATAGACAGCAGTTCAAAGAGAAGTGAAATAGTTGCAAAAGATATCTCCTTTCCCCTTCTTCTGTCTCGTGCCTTTTGGATTCGTGTTTAATTTTAATTACCTTGTGCACTTTATTTAATCTTTGATAATTTTCTCGATTTTTATGGAGAAATTAGTAATGAGCATTTTCTTTTATCAAGTTAAAATATCTTATATGATATATAATTTTTAAAAATATTTTTTTTATTCTCCAGAAATTAACATATCTATTGAACTTTGCATAATGAAACAATCTAATTTTATACTCTGTAACTATTTATTCTTCAATTTTAAATATCCATTTCATATTTTAATAGATTAATTTATTCAATGAATTAATAATTCAATATATTATTCATAACATGGAATAAAATTTGCATAATTAATATTTTATGTTAAAACTTACTTGAAGTTCCTGCGACTTTATTCATTTTTTTCTTTATCCTCTTCTAAGCCAGAAAGTCTTCTAGATATCGACACAGCAGAAAATAAAATGTAGACTAAATATTGAAATAATGTCTAACATATATTGTCTGGACTTCGGACACACCAAAACACAAACGCAGACGACATCCACCTCTCTAGACTAATACGTCGTCATGAATCAGAAACATTTTTTAATAAAACAATCGTAGTCACCCAGGGCTCTGAAGTTCACTTGGCAAAAAGTTGGAAAGTTATTCCTGTAGTTCGTAAGTCTGCATCGCTTTCAACACCCCCATTTATTGTCCCAAAACAATATTAAAACTTGCGTTTGGTACCCTCACCCGGTATAAAGCAACGCGATTGGCTATTTACAGAACAATACACATCCAGGCCCACCTTTTGCCAATTCAATACTTAACCTTTATAAAGCACAGGTAGAACCCAATTGATCGTATTTAATCCTGCCTTGATAGACTGGGCATTTTGCTGCGATTTGTCGTTCATTGTTATTCTTTAAAGGGTGTCTCCACCCCTTATATTTTTTGACGTCTGTTTTGAATCTAATGATAAATATATGCCCTGTCCTGCTTAGTTATAAAAATGAATGGAAAAGATTTCTTTAATGTTTTATTTGAATTAAAAAAAACATAGACAGTAAATTAAAAAAGAATTCTGAACTAGTAATAATGAAAAATAAAAAGAATAGTACTAAAATTCACGGATTGGAATTGAAAATAACATTTTGATGACGTTTAAAAGTACAAAAAGTTGTATGTTGCAATAAAAATGCTGATCATATTTTTATCACGTGAATGGAGTATTCGCTCATATCATGTATATCATATATACCCACACCCCTATTTTTTTTTAATTTGAAATTAACATTGGTATAAAGAGCACTGATACATGTAAGTTCAAAAATGTATGTGTCTATTTTGAATTCAATTTGAACTAAAATTATTTGATTTAAAAAAAAATCTTAAGTCAAATATAATTTCTTCGGAAAAAAAAATCAAATGACATGTAGACTTATATTTATTACAGCTTAATGATTGCTAAAAATATATTTGACCTTGTGAACTTGACTGCCAGGTGAAGTTGTTCACAGATTCTGCGCAATCTCTTTCATAACCTAGGCGAAATTACATGCAGCTCGAGAGATAAGCTTGAGTCCAGATTTAAATGACAAGAAATAAGGAAAAATATTGACAGTGTACGCTTTATTTCTTATCTGATGTCTCAAGTATACTTTTTTATGTAGTAAAACTTGTCTAGGAGAGTTTATATCTGATTTAATTTGCTACAATTCAATGATCTGTCTTGACGAAAAAGACAGATTCTTATCAGCTTGTAAATGTCGCCGTTTTATCAGAGTCGGGTGGAAAAGATCATTTTTCTTTCTAAAAAGTCAGTGTGATTTAACTTAAAGTTCCTTTTAAGGGATTTAACTTCTTCATTTTTTTTTTTATTATTCTCTATACATTAAAATAACGAAAAATATTTTTCATTTTTTAATTTGTTTTAATAACATTCCACTACACCAACCTTTAAATATGCATCAAACAACAGAAATCTGTAAGAAATCCCATCTGATTTCTCTTAATAGTTTTTCTTTAAATTTGTTATATGTCTATATGTACATATATGCTGTGATTTTAAAAAGTAGCTGTTGATAAGCTAAAGTTGAGACTAGTTTTGCTGAGAAATTCTTTTTTATTTATTTATTTAGATTAAAAGAGAAGTATTATAGAAACACATTGTATTATATTTTAAGCTATATTTTTGTAATACAATTCAAATGCTTGTTAGTTTTGTTGATTTTAATGAAGGAAGAGAAGAAATCCTCTATAAATAGTACATGTATTCATTTCGGTCGAACACAAAGCTCATAGTTTCGTAGAAGTACAAATAAAGTTCAGAATAAAAAGCTTTAAACAGAAAGCCAGACACAGATTGCAAATGTTAAGACTCAGATTTAAATAAAGTTAATACATAAAACACACATGTTCCTTGTCCCTTAATCGTTAAGCAGGGGTTAAATTCAAAATTCACCAAGGATTTGTAAATTGACCCAATAAATTGTCTTCATGAAATTAAAAAAAAAAAATCTGAATTTTAAGATTTTCTCTACCCAGTCTAAACCTTGTTTTTTGTAATTAAGCTGTTGCATTTTGCTGCCATAATCATTATGATAATCATAATACATGTATTTATATGGTTACATGTATTTATATGGTTACAATGTCACTTGAAGATGTAATACATATATGGACACAGTGTGACTTTTTACAGATGTAATATGTATATATACAATGTCACCTTCATGCAGAGATGTAACATTAATATGGTTACTATTACATATTACATGTGTAATATTTATGTGGTTACAATGTTACACATCAAATATATGATATATATGGTTAAATACCGCTTTACGAGATGTACATGTAATATCCATACGGTTACTATGATATATATGGTTAAATGCCGCTTTACGAGATGTACATGTAATATTCAAGAGGTTACTATCACATATCACAAATGTAATATTTACAATGTTAATATCAAAGATGTAATAAATGCATGTATCTTGTTACAATGTAACTTAAAGGTGTAAGGAGATGGGTGACCAAGTCGTGCAGAATGCCTGTAGGTTCAGATATATAAAAATCATATTCAATTTGTGATTTTACTATTTATTAAAGTTAAGTTCTAATTATTGAAATTTATGAAATTATGATAAACAAAACTTTTCTCGGGAAAATAAATTTTCTCGGCAAAAAATTATTCTTTTATTAAAAAATAATGTGATATTCGTGGGGCTCAAACCCTAGAAATAAAAATCCTAAGTATCATTTTCCTTTGAGACTAACACGGTAACCACTACGCTACACAATTCCTGAGAATAGTGGCATTTAAATCAGGTTTTTGATATGAACCTTGACTAAATGGATTTCAAGTATTTCTCGGAAAGATGCGAACGTTGTGTCATAAAAGTGTATTTTTAAGGCATAGAGGGTCTCTGCTCCATGCTTTTTTCAACCAAAAATGTATATTTCTATGCAAACTTTGATTGATTGATTGATTGTTGTTTTACGTCCCATTCAAGTTTTCACTCATATAGAGACATCACCGTATGCCAGTAAAGGCTTCAAATTTAGACTTATACTCGGCACTTAGGGACATTGAGCAGTGAGGGTTCTTTATCGTGTCAATACCTACAGTGACACGGGACCTCAGTTTTTAAGGTCTAATCCGAATGACCAGCAACTTTCACTTTAAAATGCCGAGCGCTTGGCGAAGGAACATTGCTACCTTTTTTTATCGACTTAGGTCAGTCGTGGCCGTGATTCGAACACACGACCTCCCAATCACGGAGCTACGACTGAGCTACCGTGACGGTCTTCTGCAAACTTTGAGGATAAACTTTCAAAAAATGGAGTGAAGACCCACTCATATATCGTGATATCGTGCTAAAGTATGAGAAAATGGTCCTTTTTGCCTTCTTTAGTGTGTGTATACTTTTTCATAGACAAATAATTTCAATCTTTGTGAGATTTTTTCAAAGTGTGTAGATTTTACATAAAGTAATTCCATACTTTAATGTTAGATGAAATAGCAATGAACATTTTGTTATGATTGAGATTAAATTTTACAACCTTATATTTGTCGCATTATAGGCATTTCGCTCGCATTGTTCGCCCATCTTTTTAATATGGTTACAATTTTTTATTTCAAAGATGTATTTAATTGGATAAAATGACAATTATATAAATGTAATATTTATATCTATTTGTTAAAATGTCACTTATTTATTTGGTTACAATGTCACTCCTCATAGATGTAATACTTATATATGGATACAGTTCGGCTTATTGAGATGTAATATCTATATGGTTTTAGTTTATAGTATACTAAATCATACTGTATGGTTTTAGTACATGTGTATATGTTCCTAGCTAAAACAGATTTAATATTTTTTGGTGTTAATGTCAGTTATCGCAGTTGTAATATATTGGATACAATAAAAGTTATACGGATTTAAAATACGGATTTTATATCTTAGATTTTAAGATAATTTTATGCATGACTACTGTATCGCAATTATGTTGATTTAATTTCCTGCATATAAGTCAGGAATACGTTAGTTACGTCTTCCCTTTTTAAAGGCTTTTTATTTTGTTTGTTTAACGTTTCTTCGAAAATTTTTCACTCATATTGAGACGTCACCATTTGCCGGTGGAGAGCTGCAAATTTAGACATGGCCCTTGGGTAGTGAGTGGTCTTTAATTTTTCCGTGTGAGCACTTACGGTCTCATCAGAAAGTCCGGTCTCCGCGTCCTGCAGTGGTATTCGAACCCGCGAAGTAAGGATCAACTCCTTACTCCGCGACTCTAGAGCAAACGTTCTTACCACTGCGTCCGCGTGCGAATTTAAGGCTTTTAATACATGTAATTATATTATAGAATTTGAATGTATTTTCATGCCTGGTAAAGGAAGTGTTGTTTACTGATTTTTATTTGAAAATCAAAATAAGAACTCGAATATATATTTTAATTTTCAATTTAAAAAAAAATCAGTAAACGACAGAAGTACACGTAGCTCTATAGTTAAAGGTTTGCGACCCCTCCCACAAGTTTCCTCATCGAGTGACCAGTCTTGTCTTTTTTTTTTTTTTTTTTTTTTTTTTTTTTTTGACAAAATCACTATGATAAGTTATGACCTGGAAATGTTTTATTCCAAAGAGACTAGACAAAACAACTCAAAAACAACTTCATTCATATGACGAGACAACTAAAGAAAAATTTCCCATGACTTGAGACAGTAATTACCTCGTGTTGTTCAACAACAGAAATGTCAAAGATATCATAAACAAGATAGAATTATATCTCCAAATTTCATCCCAGATTCCCAAACACGATTTGCTCCAACCAGACAATAGTTTGATATCGACACTTGTTTGGGTTTTTGCTGTATCAGTTAATGCATCAACTCCTCCCAAAAGCCAAGACATTTCCTCGCGGCCACTTGGCCCACGTTT